TCTCTGTAAAGCACTTTGAAACCCTGTTTCCCTGTAAACCTTTGGATGTTCTCAACAAAGTGTTAATATGTGAATAGAGGAGGACACAAATATAGATGTCTCTTAAAAATAATCAAAATATTTCAATATTTTAGGGTGGAAAACTTTTATTCAGAGAAAACTAATTCATTCTGTAATTAGTCATGCTAAATTAAAACTTTGTTCACACTGTTTTTATATATTCTGATTCTTTCTCTCCATTTCTTAACTTTCTTTTCAAAGTACTTTCATTTAATAATTAAACTCACAGTTACAGTGCACAGATTTTTTAAAAAGAACTCTGTAGAGCTGCAGGTGGAGCGGACTGATCCATCGTTTATCCATTAACAGATTGGTGAGCTCACCTCAGGGTCTCCTGGTCTCGGCTCAGTCCTGATGCGACTCGTCCAGCCTGCTGACGTCTCTCCTGTTTCGCTCTTTCCAGCAGCGTCTGAGCGAGCCGGGGATCCATCCTGAGAAAATCATGCTTTATTATTATTGATTACTTTTTCTGTCTCCTACAGATTCTCAGCATGAAACTAAAATTTACCTGTCAAGCAGGGCCTGAGCAAGCTGGGGCTCCACAAGGCCCCACCAGGCGGCCCGGGGCCTCCCCATGCTCATCCCCCTTCCAGTCTCATCGTAGTCTGCAGGAGCAGGGCCCTGGAAGTCCCTTGTGGGGCCCTGATCATCCTCCTCATCCTCCTCCTCCTCGACCACTTCCACGTCACCCGGACCGACCAGTCCTGCGCTCTCTGCCTCGCTCAGTAGGCGGAGCAGAGCTGCCAGGTAGGCTGTGGACATATTTGATTGGTGTACTTAGAAGTGGGTTTTAATTTTGCCTAAATAAGTATACTGATGATAAACTGATACGGAGAAACGTTTACAATGGAAATAATTGAAGTGATGTGAGGAAACAAAGGCAAAATATTGTTTTTTACCAATAAATTAATGAAAATTTCTAGAACAAAGTCAGAATGTTTGTTCATATGTAAAACACTAAAAAAAAGAGTAAACAAAGTTTCCCTGAAAATAAAAAAATCTCAAGAAAAACATAAAAGAAAGTTGTTTTTAAAAAAGGTTTAAAGGATTAAAGTTTCCTTACCAGCTCGCTGCTCCTCTTCCTGCTCCTTCCTCTGGTCTCTCTCCACCAATCGCTGCAGTGCCTGGTCCAAGCCCCTCCCCCTCCAGTCATCTGATTGGTAGTACAGGTCATTGGCCCTGCCTCCTCCCTGCATGGCAGGATATGACATCATCTGATCTTCATAAGGCAGCAGGTTAGGGAGGTCTCTGCGCTGGCGTCTGACTCCACCCACTGACACATCCAGGCCGTGGCCCCCAGCGCGAGCTGCAGGCAGAGACTGAGCGAGACAGAGCAGAAGTTACAGCTCAGATAAGCTTAAATTTTTATTCTCAGGGATTAAAAATAAAATCCATCTCTTGAAAGAACAGATGCCTTCTGTCAGATTTAGCGACTAGCTAATTTCCCTTTCCAGTAACTGAGCAGGTAGATACGACGTTAAATTAGCTATGAAATACAAATACATCCAAAATAGGAGAATTCCCTCAAATGAATCACCACCAACATAAATGATTGACTTTCACTTAAGCTAATTTGAAACTTTGTCCATTATATGTGGCAGATTAACAGCTAATTGCTCAGCTTCTTTCCTCCATATGTGAACATGTCAACATCATCGGCATACAGCAGAGCACGTGGAAGCTGAAAAACAGAGTCTCTGATATCGATCCGTGCAGCACCCACCAAGCAAACGAGGTTAAAACATTAACGTTGTGTCCCCTGCCAAACTGCACCAAGGACTACAGATGATGTTGTTTCCATGGTTACAGTCCTTTCAGATTGTGTCTTACAAAGCAAGAAATATTGATCAGGTTATTGGAAACAGAGCTTTTCCTTTGATGTAGCACCACGGATATGAACTAGCTGTGATCAGAGAGCCACAAAACTTCCACTCTAGCATGATTAAATATGCATGTATACATGTAATCATGTCCTTGTGTTGTGAATTGACTTCTCTCCATGTGCCTGGATGTTGTAACGTCGGGTTGCGTTTAGTGGTTGAGAGGAGGCGGCAAAACACTTAGCAGATTAGCCACAAAATCCGTCCCCCCTCATGCACTAGCGTGCAAGCACATGTCCACACAATCACAGAGAGAGTGAGTGGCGCATACGGATAACAACATTAACCCTCGACTTGGGTTTTCTTAAAGAGACACCAGACCATTGTGACTGTTACAATGTCAACAATATAAATCTTTGAAGCAGTCTCTTTAAAGTGTTAATCGGTTAGTTAACTCAATATTCATTAGTGCTGAAGGTCAGGAGTTCGATTTCCCTGTGGTTGATTTGCTTTCAATGAGATTCTTACTTAAGAGAGAATAATTCCTTTTCATCTTGAGTTAACCAATGAGCGGATGATAGAAAGCTAACTTTCCCTCTCCACAAAGTGTCGAAATGTTCACAGAAGGAAGGAAAGGTGTGAGAACAGATGTGACGCAGCAGTTTCTGTTCCTAAGTGAGTGTGTGTGAGACCGAGGAGGACTGATGCAGTGATGAAGAGGGTTATCGATGAGCTGTCTGAGGCCTCGGGGTGATCACATTTATATCAAACTCTCAGATCACGGTGATATCAATCAGTGAGCTGCACGTACGGTGACTCAGCAGCAGTGCTGGCTGCATGATTGCACTGAGAAATTATTGTTCTTCTATTTAGTATTCACATCGCAATTAATACTCGAGTTCCCACTTAGATGTGCAACTGAGATGGATCTCACCACCACACGTTGCTGTGAAAAGCGCTTTGAGCTGCTTTCAACTAATTATGCTGAAGGCTTTGTGGTAATAACGGTGAACCTAACCTGCTGATTCACAGCTCCATATTTTTCTTCTCATACTCAATTACAGCAGCTTTGCCACCATAATCATCTTATATTGGGGCTTGGTGCAGTCATTTTAGTTCATTTCCCCCGTGCTTTTATCCAGTTTTCTTCTGATTGGCTGCCCCTCCCAAACATCTGTGCTCATAGCCAGAGCTGTGTCTGAGACAGCTATATTAGAGATATCCCATATCAGTGGCGTCATCTGGGGAAAAGGCAGAGCATTTAGAGCAGTCTGGAGTCTGAGCCTTTGGCTCACAGGGATCATTTTTCATGCTCTGGCTTCATTATTTCCAATTTTAACCATGCTTCATACAAATATCCACCATTTATTAGGAAATAAAACATTCTTTAAATCTACTATTTTTTAAAAATGAGAAAAAGATCTGTGCTACATCTCACACAAACATGCTTGTACTGAACACGCCATCCAAATTTGGCGATATATTCTGCAGCACCACCTGGTGTTTCCACTCCTCCACCCTTGGCATCAACCTCTAGGCTCCAAGGGGATATTTACTTTTCACTTCCCAGTTCCTGTGCATCTCTTATTTTCAGAGAATGATGAGCTAAACGATCACCTCTAATTATACTCTATTCTTTCTGTCACAAGTGTCTGAATGAAATGTGTTAATCCTCGTCATTGGGAGACAGATATGTTGGCAGATGTGACGTTTAATGCTTAAGTGACAGTTACACATCAGTGCATCTGCGCTGATATAGAGCGACTCATGGGTAAAGTACCTAAAACTGATCCTCAGTATGAAGAGTCTGAATAGGCTGCGAGCAATCTTTGCTCAGGATTAATGGAAGCGTGAGAGAAAAATGCTTCAACAGCTTCTTTCACATGAAAGAAGCTGTCGCTTTGACTGTGAGATGATTAAATCTTCCATGCCAGGCGATCGCAGCAGACAGATCCGGGTTCATCCTGCTGCAGCAGCTTTAATTTCCAGCCGAGACGTGTCAGAGTTCTCGAACTAACACTGATTTACGATGATAATATGCCTCCGCCTGCAGCACAGCAGCTTATTCCAGAGAGGAGGAGGGTTGTATCTGTGGCTCTGTGCGATGGTGAGACAGCGGCGTGATGAAGAGATGAAGGAGGAGGAGGTAATGAGCCCTCTGAGGAGAATAACTCTCTGACTCACTGTGGGATCCAGTATTTTCTGCAAACGTTAGAGCAGCTCTGACACGGCGCTCTGGGAGATTAAAACATCAGCATAAAAACCTAAAAAAGAGCTTTTCTTTGCTTTCTGTGCAGCACGGCGGGAGAATTTAGTCATATTAAGCCAAAAATGTCCACATTTTCACATCATATCATGATCTTTCACCGTTTTCCAGACTGAACTGACTGTATGGAAAAACACAGGTCCAGCAGATGTGTTATGGATTCTGCTCATAGATGATAGCTCATAGCATCGTAACTTCCCAAAGACGAGGCAGGTGTCCAAATTACACCCTGCTTTATCCTCCCATTTGACATCAATAAATAAGCCTTAACTGAGATCGTAAACGCACAAGGACAATGTTTACTGAGGTCACAAACCAAAGAAGCAAAGGTCCAATTTCACATATACTTAATACAACCAGTCTGGGGTTTGAGACCTGAAGAGTCTCCCCCTGCTGGCTATTGGAAAGAATGCATGTTTAAGACACTTGCATCCATCTTTCAGACCCTGAATCCACAATCATCTATGGGTGAAATAAATTGGTGATTATAAAGAAAAGTGAAGTGCTTCCAAAGTTAAAGAGCAAAATAATTTCATGTTAGGTGGCTGCAGGGGCGCCAGGAGAGTCTATAGTTCCCACAATCCAATGATCCAATGAAAATACACCGTCTCTGTGAGCCGATCGAGGTCGCATTTTTATTTGCTGTTTATTTTTATTCTAACCTGCTGGTTTGTTAGCTTTACCTGGTTAGAATTACAAAGAAGATCATGGTTTGGGTTAAAATAGGATTAGATGTTTTTTCAGCGCTCAGGTTTCTCGGTCGCCTGGATACCTGATCACGTGACCCTTAAAAAGAAAGTCATATTTCTAATGAGATACATTTGTTTCAGAGTTATGCTCTGTCTGTCTGTGGTACCAATCATGACTGTGAAAGTCACTTTGTTCCTCATGGAAGTGAAGCAACCAAGAAACATGAGCTCTGAAAGAATCATCATATTTTTCATATTTCTGTGGCGAAGAAGCTTTTAATGGGAGAGGAGCGAAAAGATCGTGTGTCAGACCGGATGAACTAATGGGCAGCATAAAGACCCAGTAAAAGGTTCAAAAAGAATTAATTTGGACTGAATCATGCAGATGTGTCATGCTGGAGATAAGCCACTCTTTAACATTTTTACACAAAATCAATCTTTATTATCACAACCCTCATATTTATCTGGAAGTGAGGGGTCTCAGCAGAAGTAAGGTTAAGCAGTATGTGTTGTTTTCAGCCTGTAGTAGTTAGATAGAAGCTACGTATTTATAACGTTACTGATGTCGATCAACGTGCTGGATGAATTCCCACAACCTATATGTCTGTGTAGCCAAACAGGCATGTAAACAGACACCATAATGGGACCACAAGTCCCACAAAAGTTAACAGCGCATGACATTATGCACAGGTCGAACGCTGTTGGACTAGACCAGTAAAGAGAATGGCAGCACTTTATCATAAGCATGAAAAGGTCAGATTGAAAAAGGGCAGGTAAAAGCAGAGAAGTGACGGTTTGCTCAGGATGTTCTTTGTAAACAACATTTGTTCTCTAAGCAGCAAAAGCAAGGACATGAACAAGAGCAGCCCATGCTGTAAGCCGTTCCGTACATGTTTTACACTCCCCCCGGGTGACAGCACACAGCTGCTTATCACCTACAGACCGCCACGCCAGGATCTGTCGGTGAGTCTTTAAAACATGTTTAAAAATTAAAGTCCAGGATGATGATGTCGGTGTCTAAACCTCGGTAACAAAGTGAGCGCTGTGTGCAGTACAGGTGCAGTTGTGTTGTTGTGCACATACTGAATAAAGATTACATAACTTTATTGTCACAGCGCTGTGAGACCAAATATAATTTTTCCCTCAGAGACAATAAACCTCATCTCTATTATCGCTCAGTCATTTAGGTCTGTATGCTCAGGGAAGCGAACCCTGTCCTCACAAATAATGAACAGCAGTGCACACACACGCACGCGCACACACACACACGCACACACACGCACGCACACACGCAGAGCAGTCATTATGTGTCAGGAGACCTGCTGTATCCTGTGTAATCTACGGCCGTGTTGCTGTGGGTAACCGTCTCCTGTCGCTATGGTGACAGCAGCTGAAACGAAATGTTCTTCCTGACACAGCAGCTACCCACAGACACACACACTCACACTCACACACACACATCCACACACAAAAATAGACTCATGATTGTCCTGCTATCTTTGAGAGGACCCGCGGTGAAATGATGCATCTGAGGGTCCAAACGCAGACCCTGGACCTGGTTCTGACCTGGTTCTGACCTGGTTCTGACCTGGTTCTGGTTCTCTCCGAACATTTAAAACTCAGTTTGATCCTCACGTAGATGCCGCAGCCTCACAACATCTCAGTTTCTCTGCACTGATTTCCCTCACCTGTTAATCAATACCTAATCAATGAAATAGAAAACAGAAGACAGGCACACACATGTGTGTGTGTGTGTGTGTGTGTGTGTGTGTGTGTGTGTGTGTGTGTGTGTGTGCTGACAGGTAGAAGATAATCAGCAGTGACATTGTTTTGCATCAGTGTCAGGTTACCGTGACGATGCAGCACCGTGGAGATGAATGGCTGGCTAAACACATGCGACACATATGTAAACATGCTCTCTCTCTCTCTGTATGTGTGTGTGCCGTCGGTGGGACTCGTCCTTACCTGAGTGGTGTGGATCAGAGCAGTGCTGAGCAGCAGGAGGCCGAGAGACGCCATGCTACAGGCCGAGCACACACAAACACACACTGAGGCAGGATGCAGACACTCCTCTGATAAAAGGGAGGAGGGGGGAGGGAACAGAGAGAGGGAGGAGCAATGACTCAGGAGAGAAGGCGAGAGGAGAAAGGAAAGAGAAGGAGGAGACAGGGAGGGATTTTGAGATGGAATAAGATAATAACAGAAGACAGAGGACAAAATAGGATGTGATGAAAAATGGAAGAACTAAGAATTATGGGAGTGGATAAGGTGGGAGAAAAAAATAATTGAAGGACATAAGGAAGGAGATAAGAAGACACAGAAAGCGATAAGTTCATAAAAGGGGATAAGTTTGGCTGTAAGGGCATAAGGAAGGAGTTGAAGTAAGGAGGTAGGTGTGGACACAAGGAAATAAAATACGGGAATAAAATTTCAGAAATGAGACAAGGGGACAACGGAGGAGAAAACAAATGTAAAAAGTGGAAATAAATAAGATAAGGAAGGTAATAAGCAATGGGACAAGTAAGAAGATCAGTGCATAAGGGTATGCAAGAAATAGGATACAAGGAAAAAAGAGAGGATTTCATGAATTTAAGGAAAGAGGGGGTGAGGGAGGAAATGGGGAAAAGGACACGAGGAGAAAAGGATATAAAGTGTATAAAACAAAAAGGGGCAAGGATTAAGATTAGGACGTAAGGGGCGGCATGGCGAGGAAGATAAGGGCACAAAAAAGGCAATAAGGAGACAAGTGAGGAGGGAAAGATATAAGAAATAGTGTGGAAGAAGTAGTTACAGAGATAAGGAATTAAATAAATGAGGAGTTAAGGAACAGGTAAAGAACCAAAGCAAAGAAGTATGGATTTCCATAACAAGGAGAGAAGGATATATGGAAGTTGCTAAGGATGAAGAGAAGGACACAACAGACTAAACACAGAAGAACCAAAAGATGCACCGACGGAGACAAGGAGACTGACCCAAGAAGAAGAAAAAGAAGAGGAAGGATCACTTTTTTCCCCCAGAAACATTTGATTGGCTGGCAGAAGACAAATTAAAACAAACGTAAAAGAAAAGCAGCAACACTCCAAAACAGCTCGCTGACTGAAACATCTGAAGATTTATAGCCAATAACTGAGATCCTGTCAAAGGGCAGAAAGCCACAGAGGAAGCTTTTAACAGAAACACTTCCTGCTCCGGGTTTTTATAGCACAATCTTCATGCTTTTTACAGCTGCCCTCACGTCCTCCTCTAATAATCCTCTGAAATTCCAGATTCATTGACTTTCTGCTATTAGTTCTCCTCTCTAATTTTCTTCAATCTTGAGCTCATCATAGTATTCCTTACAACCTCTCAGCTCACTCTATTCACTTCCATCTCTATTCTTACCCACTCTAACCTGGCTCGCATCCTTTTGCAGCTCGACCTCTACACCTCCATCACTTTCCCGTACTTCCTCATTCCACCACCAAGTCTTCCTGCCCTCTTGCATACACCGAACACCTTCTTGGCAGTTTCTCTCACCACATCAGCTGTACTTTCTCAGTTATCTAGTAACTCGTCACTAACACTCAGTCTTTTCCCTGAACTGTCGCCAAATTCTTCCTTCTTCAGCTTTCATCATTTAACCCTCGTCTCTGCCTTCACTCTCCTTTTCTTCTTGATGAGGATGACCTCATTACCTCTGTTCCTTTAACCCTTTCTCTATCCACTTCATCCAGTTACTCCAGATTTCCTCTCTTTCAACATTCAACATTAGCCATTTGACTTCAAGCATCAACATTTAAAATCCCTGCTCTCACCTTTCTTTCTCTCTCACTGCCTCCTAACATGCCATCCCCCTCTCCTCTTTCCTTTGTCTTTGGCTAACACAGGGGTCCCCAATCCCAGTCCACGAGGGCCAGTGTCCCTGCAGGGTTTAGATGTTTCCTTGATCCAACACAGCTGATTTAAATGGATAAATGACCTCCTCAACATGTCTTGAAGTTTTCCAGAGGCCTGGTAATGAACTAATCATGTGATTCAGGTGTGTTGACCCAGGGTGAGATCTAAAACCTGCAGGACACTGGCCCTTGTGGACTGGGATTGGGGACACCTGGGCTAACAGCAGCACAGTTTTCATTGACACCCTGTAGGCCAGGGGTGGGCAATTCCAGGCCTCGAGGGCCGGTGTCCTGCAGGTTTTAGATCTCACCTTGGGTCAACACACCTGAATTACATGATTCATTTGTTGCCCACCCCTGCTGTAGGCCAACAGCGCCAAAGGCATTTGTTGCCAGCCCGAGTCTGACAGGCTTTGACGACTCGTTTGATTTGGCAAAGACTTTTTGCCAGATGCTCTATTGCACAGGTGTCAAACTCCAGGCCTCGAGGGCCGGTGTCCTGCAGGTTTTAGATGTGTCCTTGATACAACACAGCTGATTTAAAGGTAAATAACCGCCTCAACATGTCTTGAAGTTCTCCAGAAGCCTG